TTAATTTGAAAAAAAGTTGATCCGAGTAATTTGGTCTAGGACACATTTGGTCTTGTCATCTTTGATATAATAAAGTATTTAAAAAATTCTTCTTTACTTCAATTAAACTTCAATTTACTACTTATATTTACTTTAATTTTAATTTTTAAATGTTTTCATTTTTGTCAACTTTTTTGCTTCATTGCTTCAACTTTTAATGTACCAAAATTTAATGTATTTTTTACCTTGATAAATGGTTGTTAAGGAACCTTGTCGCAGAGGAACCTTTTGCTGAGAAATCTTGTTGCTGAGGAACCTTTTTGTTGAGGAACCTTATTGTTGAGGAACCTTGTTGTTGAGGAGCCTTGTTGCTGAGGAATCTTGTTGTTGAAGAACCATGCTGTTGAGGGACCTTGTTGTTGAGGAGCTTTGTTGCTGAGGAACCTTGTTGCTGAAGAACTTTGTTGCTGAGGAATCTTGTTGTTGAAGAACCATGCTGTTGAGGGACCTTGTTGTTGAGGAGCTTTGTTGCTGAGGAACCTTGTTGCTGAGGAACAATGATGAGTTTTTTGTTGAAGAAAACTTGAACCTGATGCTTGATGATATGAAGAAAACTTGAACCTGATGTTTGATAATGAACTATTTCTAACCTTCTCAATCAAAGCAAAAGTCTTAGCTTCTGATTTCAAGCACCATCTTTGAATTATTTGTAAGCAGCTTTTTTTACCTTAAAACCATAGAACCTGATCAATTATATGTGATCAACAATCTTTCTCAATCTCTAACACAAATAGTTAACTTTCCAACTCATTTTCCAGATAATTTGAATCATTTACCTTTTCTACTCGGCTTATGTCTTGTTTCTGATCCTAGTCAGTGCTCAGTTTCTCAACATTCACCCTTAGGTGCTTCTGATCACCGTTTGATCTCTCTAAAACTATTATCTCATTCTTCATCATCAGAATCCCCCTATCATCGTACCTCTTACAATCATCTTAAAGCTGACTGGGACTCTTTCTGTGATTTTCTTTTGCTGACAAATGTGCTTCTTATGTAACTTCTTGGAATCAGGCTTACATTGAATCTTTTATTCTCTTTCAATGATTCCCAGTCAAGTCTCTTCTTCTTGGTTTTTTTCTCATTGTGCTGCTGCAATTTCTAATCATAACATTACTTCCATATCTATCAGCAAAATTTTCCATAAAACAGATGTCTGTTTACTATTGCTTTAAACCATTGTATAAAGGTTTTGTCTAATGCCAAAGACCTGCTATTCTCATGTCACAAAACCTCGTATTTCATCTTAAAAATTGAGCTCTCCAAACTCCTGGAGAATCTTTAACAGTGTCTATAATAAGGACAAATCAGTTATTACTCCTCTCTTGCATGGTTCGGATTTTGTCAACTCACCTAAAGACAAAGCAAAATTGTTTTCTAAGAACTTTTCATCAATCTTATCTCTTGATTCCACTAATCACATCCTACCTGATATAGCCTACAAACAGGTTTATCAATTGCTTGACGTTTGTATCACTCTAGCTTCTGTATCTAAAGTGATATCCTACTAAGACTTTTCTACAACTTGTGGTCTGGATAGCATAACTGTTATAAGTCATACAGAAGTGTTATTCAACTGCATAAGTCTTACAGAAGTGTTCTTCAAAGATTTCATCTATACTTTCAAAACTATTTAACAAGTACTTATCAGAGTCTTGTTTTCCAGCCTGCTGGAAAGTAGCATTTTTTACCTCTATTTTCAAAAATTCTGGAGAGCGCTCTGACTGGTGCTAACTATTGTCCCATTAGTCTTATCATAAACAAGGTTTTTGAGTCTTTAATTAAAAAACACTTAATCTCCTATCTTGAATCTAATAACTTATTTTCTAATCATCAATATGGATCTTCTTGTTCTACAGCTTATTTGTTAATGGTAATAATCGATAGGTTTTATCGAGCATTAGACAGATGTGGAGAGGTTAAGGCTATTGCTCTCGATATTTGTAAAGGCTTTGATAAAGTTTGACATAGTGGTCTTCTCCTTAAGCTCTCTTTTTATTGTGTATTATATGACATCTTTAAGATTATTGAATCCTTCCTTACCATTTGTAGTATAAAAGTTGTCCTCTAAGGACAGCACATTTTTTAATTTTCTGTATCTTCAGGTGTTTCTCAAAGTTCTATCCTTGGCCCTATACTTTTTTTATTTGAATTAATAATTTCCCTGAAATTCTACCATTTATTCTTGTCTTGATAAGAATCCAACATTCTGATTGTTTGGAGGGGGCATTCAGCTTGAAAAGGATTTCACTTCTGCTAGAGCATGGGGCTTTCACTGCCTTGTGAACTTTAATTCAGTAAAAATTCATTTTTGGCTAATTGTTATTTCAACAATCTAGATCTTCCTATATTTATGAATGGTAATATACTCAATGAGTCTACCCTTCTACCCTTCATCTTCTAGGATTAACTCTTACTTCTGATCTTTCTTGGAAACCATATATCTAATCAATTACAAAATTAGCATCTGCTAAGGTTGCATCTCTTTATTGTGCTTGCCACTTTCTTACTCCGGATTCTATTGTTTATCACTATAAATCTCAAATGGATCCTTGTATGGAATACTGTTGCCATATCTGGAGCGGATCTTCAAATGATAGACTCTTTTAGAAAATGTGCAAAAACACATTGTAAACATAGTTGAATCTGTACTTGTAGCCAACCTTCAACCAGTTTCACATCATCTTAATGTTGCTTCTTTTTCTCTTTTCTATAAATACTATAATGGGCTCTTGTGCCATCTACTAAAATTCATTCTCATATTGGTTGTCATTCAATTAAATCTCATCCTTTTACTGTAACTTTTCCTAAGTGCTGCATATGTAATCAATAATATGTAAGTGGTTTATTTCACCTTAAAACCATAGAACCTGATCAATTATATGTAATCAACAATATGTAAGTGGTTTATTTCACCTTAAAACCATAAAACCTTATCAATTATATGTAATCAACAATATGTAAGTGGTTTATTTCACCTTAAAACCATAGAACCTGATCAATTATATGTAATCAACAATATGTAAGTGATTTATTTCACCTTAAAACCATAGAACCTGATCAATTATATGTGGTCAGCAATATGTAAGTGGTTTAATTCACCTTAAAACCTTGTTTTTGAGATAAAGTATGAGACTTTGTTGTCTGAGTTTTAAAATAAAATTATTCCAAATATTGAATAATTTTGTTCAATACCTTTTTGTTTTAATTTCTTGGTTTTATATAAAATTATATATTTATATTCAATATAACATAAAATTTTGAAGCCATTTATATGTCAAACTTGTTTTTGTTTTTAAAGTATACACAAATGTTTTCTTTTAATTTTTCAACAACAGAATTTTTTAAATTTTTCTTTTTTTTATTTTAATTCCATAAATATTTTTTCAAAATTGTTCGAAAATTCCATTTATAGTGTTCTATCTATTATGTTTATTCCTCGAACATCAGTTCTTTGGGATTCGCTCCCTTCATCTCGTTTTCCTGATTTATATAATTTTCAATATTTTAAGTTGTTTGTTAATTGTTATCTTGCTTTATAAAATTTGCCTTTTCTCTTTAAGTATGTTATGTACTAAATTTTTTTGTTCTCTGTCTTTTAAAACATTAAAAAAGTTGTGAACTTAATCTAGTTTGATGTTCAATATCAACAAAATCAAGTGGTTTATTAGCAATCAATTAGAAACACAGGTCTTTTGAATTTAGTTATTTATAAACTTATGTAAAAATGTTGTTAATATATGTGCATATATATATATATATATACATATATATATATATATATATATATATATATATATATATATATATATATATATATATATATATATATATATATATATATATATATATATATATATATATATATATATATATATATATATATATATATATATATATATATATATATATATATATATATGTTAGTATATATAATATAATATATATATATTATATATATATATATTATATATATATATATATATATATATATATATATATATATATATGTTAGTAATAATCAGGTTTATGGTCAAATTAACTCAGAATCTTGATACTTTCTTGACAAAATGATTTCTTTTTCACATAAGTTTTATCAGTTTATTCTGTTTTTTTTTTTTTTGCAGATTTAGATGAAGAATAGATGTAGAAGTTTAAGAATAAAGAAGATTAAGATTTCTCAATATTCCAATTATTTCATGAATTGGTTAATATTGAAAGTGATGTGGCATAAAGCATCATGAAAATGTTTTTAAGCTTTTAAAATATTTATTTTTACTAACTTTCTACTAACACTTTTTTATCAACACTTGTACACTCGACTCACTGAAGTTAGGTTTTAGTGAAAAATAAACAAAAGCAAAAACACTCAAAAAGTTCTGTTGATACTTTAAGAATGTATTCAATGAAATCACTGATTAATAGAAATTTAAGATTTTTGTTTTTTGTTGGAAATAAGTTATCTATAAGTTTATTTTCAAAAAATGCTCTTTTATATAATTTTCTATAAGCATTCATCAAATCTAATTTTTAAATGGCAGCTTTTAAATTTCAATTAACTATGGTGGTCACTAAAGTATATAGACACCCCCTGAGTACATGCCTATTTTGGAAAAAAAGTTACTATTTGTTTTAATGGAGTGGGAGGTAATTGGTGGATTAGGAATCGTGAATTAGATAAAGTGCAATTTTAATTTAAAGAGAATACAAAAGGACACTTGGGATAGACACAAAGGGACAGACACAAACAGACACCTTTTTAACATTTTATAAAGAAAGAGGTTCAAAAGATGTTTTATTTTGTAATCTTTTTTAAAGGTTTTAAAAATAAATGATTTAAAAATAAATGATCTGTTTTTAGTTTTAAAAATAATTATTTCTTGTCTAATATTTTTGTATATTTAAAAATAAAATTGATTGTAATGATTAATTTTATAAATTTTATTGTAAAATTTTTATGCTAGCATGTTTGATAACTCATGGAAATCATTAACATCATTGTGGTCTCCTAGGCAACAATTAGGTGTATGTGTATTAAAAAGTAAAATATATGCTATTGCTGGTTCAGATGGAGATAACCGTTTAAATTCTGTTGAAGTTTTTGATTGGAACACAAACTCTTGGAACCATTCAACACCTTTGCAGGTAATAATCTGCAGGTAATAATTATCCTAAGTTTGTGGTATTAAAATTTTTATAACTTTTTTGCTTCAATAAAAAAAAATTTTCTTCATTTTTATATTAATATATATTTAAAATATATTCTAAATATATCATAATATAAAAATGATACATGTCCATTGGAGTAAAAAAATTAAAAATGCTATACATTTGGATACTTTTTTTATTTATAAAGTCATCATCATCACCATCATTATCAGTATATGACTCTTTGTTTGTTATACCAATGTTGCTATCAGAACACAGAATTTAGGAGTTCCTTTTTTTTAGAACTTTTTTTATTTAGAATTTCAGTTTTTTTATTTATATTTATTACTAATAAAGAAACAAATAATATAAAGTTTTTTAATATTAAAAAAAAAAGTTTAAACAAAAATTTCAAATAAAAAATTAAACAAAAAAGGAATTTATCATTTTTTCATCAGCGTTATTTTATGGTCATATTAAGATATGTTTTTATCTTAAACTTTGGATTTTTATTAAAACAGCATCCCAGGATCCCAAAGTGCAGAGACAAATTGTGTTCATATTATTTATTATTAATTAAGAAGAGAATGATAAAAAAATGTTTGGGCAGAATTTTTTTAAGTAAAACAAAATAATAAAGGTATACCAAGAAAAACAAACTTTGTTGTTTTACTCGAAGCTTGCCGTCTCCATGTTAACCAGTCTCTAAAAAGTCTTAAAAATATATGCCGCTATCTCCAGACTAATTTATTCAAGCACGTTTATTTCTAAAGAGTTTTAGTAAATGATGTTATTGTAGAATTTCAATAAAAAATCTAAAAATTCCTTTTTTTTTATCAAATCATTAAATTGGTTTTTTTTTATTATAGATTTTTAAAGAATTTGTTTAATTACTTATTATTATATAAAAGTTTTTTTTCATTATAAATTACTGTTTATTTATTAATTTAATATTAATATTTTATATTTTATATTGTTTAATTATAATTTCTTTATTTCTATATTAAATTATTTTATTTTCTAAATTTATAGAAAATAAAATAATTTATTTCTATATTAAATTATTTTATTTTCTAAGTGTATAAGTATTTAGCTAAGTAATTACAAAGCTCTTTTAAAAAAAAACATTTTTTTTTATAAATTAAATGAGTTTTGTTTTGGACTTGCTTTAGTTTGCTTTAGTTACTATTTATAAAAATAATGGTTTTAAACCCGTTGCATTTTTGTTCTTCAATGATGTGCGTTACAAAATTAATTTAATTTAAAAGTTCATTTGTTAAGCATTCTATTGATATATAGTTTGTTATGCTATTGTTATGATTTACTATTTGAATTAGTTGCCAATGTTATGCCATTCAAATTTTATTCAAAAAAATGTGCGGTTGCAGGGTAAAGATTTTTGTTAAAACAGGTGGTAGCAAAAGAGTTAAACTTATGAAAGTTTATTTAACAGCATTTATTTGCTAAACTTTTCATCGAGTATAAGTATTCTCGAAATTCTTATTTAATCATGCGAAGTATTTTTAATGAAATTTGTTTTGTAAAACGTATATTGCTTATTTTATTTTATTTTTAAAATTGAACAATTATTGGTTAAGATTGCAAAAAAGTGTAGCATTGTTGAGTAAAATTGAAATCGTTTAATGAAAAACTTTTTATTGTCAATTTTAGTAGTTTTTTGATTTGTAATTTTAAGAGACAGGTTTTAATGTAAAATACTTGCCAAATACAACATAAATTGGGAAATATTAAATATAATATGTTTTTTAATGCGCGCTGAAACACATTAACAATTTTAATTGCCATCTGTCTTGATTATTGCCATAAAACATTAATTATTGCTTTAATTAATAAAAAGCTGTTTGTAAATTTGTTAAATGTAAAATCTATAAATATTTTTTAACTAAAAATTTAAGAATTCAGCAAATATCTCTAATAAATGATGTTGTTTACCAAAATTCTTTATCAATTAAAAATTAAAAAAAAATTAAAAATTATTATATATATTAAATTAAAAATTTATAAAATCTCATTTTGATAGGAGAACAAAAACGTCATAGTGATAAATGGCTTGGATAAACTAGAAAAAAATTCACATTGTTTACATAAAAAGAAAAAAGATTCAGACAATTGTATTGATTTACTATTGCAAATATTGCAATAAATTGTTGTTTCTGACATTTATTTGTAATTTGAATCCATTTTGTTATGTTGTCAACATGTTTTGGCTAGTATCTTATGATGTAATAATGATGTAATTACTGGTAAAACTGTATGTTGATGTAATTACTAGTAAAAATTAATTTTTCTTACTAGCTTTTTAATAGTTTCAATTTGTTGAACCTTTTTTTTTTTCTAGCCAGTTAATTCAAAACCTTTTTTAAATTAACTGGCTAGAGTAACTGAGGTTTAACATAATTTTTCACAATAATTGCGATGTTCAACATAAACAATAACTGCGATGTTCAACATAAACAATAACTGCGATGTTCAACATAAACAATAACTGCGATGTTCAACATTTCAACAAGTTTAACTCTAAATAGGCTTCACATTTAAATTACAATTTAATTTTTTTGCATTTAATTTACAATTTTTGGTTTTAATTTTTAAACATAGTCTTAATAATTTTTTGTTTTTACAATCATTATATACAATAGTTTTAAAAAACTACCTCATTTCTGATGCATATCCCGCAGACATTTTTGCAGACAAACTTTCTTCAATCATTATATGACCATACATGAGTTCATGGCATATGTGTTATAAATATCTATATTTAAAACCATATTAATCTATAAATAACTAATAACTAACTATATTAATCTATAAATAAAATCACCTAAATATTTACTATATAAATATCTTAATATTTACTATATAAACATTTTAATATTTACTATATATATATATATCTCCTTGGTACTTACAATATAATTTTAATATTTACCTTATAAATATCTTGATATTTACAATATAATCCTAATATTTACAATATAAATACAAAGTAGTGAGAAACAATAAAATTTGAATATATGAGATAAAAATATGGAAAACAATAAAATTTCTTATTATAATTTTTTATAATTAAAAATTATATAGTTAATTTTATTGTTATAGAATAAGTCTTTTCATTATACACATAAAACATTTTTCTATAACAACTTATGCTTTTAAAACCCTCAGAATTTTATATTTAACTATTTCAAAAAAAACTATTTTTTGTTGAAAAATAAATTTGTTTTATTAAATAAAGTTTATTAAATAAATATTATATTAAATGAAGTTTAATGTTTTTTATAAAAAAAAGTTTTTCACTTTGACTTTTGATTTTAAAACTAAAATTGTAATTATGTTTTATGACTCATGCAACTTTTGACTTTTTAAGTCTTCTATCAAAAGTTGTCTAGATCCTTATTGTGAGTGAGTTCAAAAAAAATTAATTTGATAAGTTGACAGAATTCAAAAATCATAGTTATATTTTTCCTATATTTTTGTAAAAACATTGAAAAAAGTTGATTGTTTTTATGATCTAAACCCAACGTTGATCCAATGTATATATTTCAACATTAATTCAATGTATATAAATCAACCTTTTTCCAAAGTGTGTAAATACATTGCAAAAAGTTTATTGTTTTTACGAACTAAACCCAACGTTAATCCAATCTATGTGACCAGACATTGCGATTGCAAAGTTATATAACTTAAATAAAATTTTATGTGATTATAAAAATATCAAACCACAATCAACACAAACATGATTTTTGTTTGGATGATCAAGTGTTTTTAACCTTATATACAAATAAATGTAAATAAACATTTTATCAACATCAATTTATAGTTGTTGGCGACGTCGCATTTGTAACCATAATGATATAAAAACAACGTTGGCAGCCAATGTTGGGCCAACGACATTGTTCTAATGTTTTAACAACGTATGTGTGCTAGCTGAGATATCCAGTAACTTGAGTTTTTAAAAGTTAGAAATTAATAGTATTAAAACTATTAGGAATAAATATTTTTGTAAAGATCATTTGTAAAACCATTTGACAACCACTTTTCAAAATCAAAAGCATCTTTCCAAAAAAAATTAGAAAACACTTATTCCTATGATCTATATTATATTACAATTGCTTTCAATTATTATATTTTTAAATTTTTATCAAAGAACTTTACTTATTTAATTTATCAACCCAGTTCAATCTCCAGATTTATACACATATTAAAATCACGCATGGACACATGTTCAAACTCAACATTTATACTTATGCTGTAAACATGCATGGTCAATTTATTGTCAATTTATAAATGTATTGTATACATTTAATTCATTACATTTTTAGTTCTAGTAAAATTTCATGTTTTAAAGTTTTAAATCTCGTTATAAGTATATATTGTATATATTTATTTAATAAAATATTTAATTTTGTTTAGTATTTTTTTATATTCATTCAATGTATTTCATTATTATTATCTATCTTTAATGTGTTTTTTTCTTTATTATTCTATATTTTATTTATTCAATTTACATACCTTAAATCAATTACTATATAAATTCTATATGAAAAAAATCTATACAAAAAAAAAAATCTATACTAAAAAAATCTAGTGGTATATTGGTTAGACCCATATACCACTGCATTTCCACAAATAAATTTAGTTTAGGAAAGGTTTTACAGATAAAGATAAAGCTGTTGTCGTATTTGGGCTGGTTTTTCTAATGAGGACCTCTCACTTTTAGACAAAGTTCATTGTAAATATTGTTCCCATTGTTGTAAGGTTGCATTTCTTTCTTATTTTTATAAATACTACCATGGTATCTTCTCAAGCAAGTTATCATTACTCATTTTTCAGATAAGTTGCTGGTATTGTTCTTTTAAAAAAATTTTTATTCATCAGGTTTTTTCCATTGCAAAAGTCTTTCTATGTGTTTAACAGTTTGCTAGCTATTTGATAAACATTACTCTGTATATTATGATAATTACTTTTAGACTTGTCGTTCTGGAGTGGGTGTTGGTGCACTGAGAGGATCTATATATGCTTTGGGTGGGTACGATGGGCATCATTGTCTCAGCTCTGTGGAGCGCTTTAATCCTATTGATAATAAGTGGCATTTTATTGCTTCAATGAATTTTGCAAGAAGTTTCCCAGGTACTTTTTTTAATATAGGGTGCTACTTATGTATTTATGTTAGTTTGTTTATTGTAATATTTTTTCTGTGCCAGTGTATTTATTGTGTATCTATGTATGCGTGGGCGCCCACGGAAAATTTTTTAAGGGGAGGGGGGCTCAATATTATCAGTATTTTTTTTATTTTGGTGCTGTTTAATACATTAAAATCAAGAAATATATAAAATAAAGAAAAAAAAAAACTTTTTAGTAGAACAAAGAAGAGAGTATAAGTTTGTCATGAACAGACAGGGCGCTATCGTAAATAACGGCGTACTATAGCAAAAATATTTTAATGATACAATGAATGTATACTATAATAGTACACAAAAAAAACTTACAATTGTTTAAAATCAAGTTTATATTTTCAAGAGTCATTTGTTATCAATACCAAACATGCCAGCAGTTTTATTTATACCAAACAATGTTAAGTTTATTTTGTCTTAACGAGCCAAACCAGACAAATAATCATTTGACATTGTTTACCTTTTTTTTTACACAACGTAATGTACTAAACGATTGCATTATCGTACATGTTGTTACTGGTAAAGTTAACACTAGTAACATATACCTGATACTAGAATAAAATTATGTTAAAGGTAATAATTTTATGAAATCTTGGGTACTGTTGTATTTTCGAAGGTTCCAAAAATCAAACAAACTCAGGGTCTCAGTTTCAAAATTATTTATGTTGTATACGTTATTAGTAGTAGAAATTTCATCTTTAAAATGTTAGGTTTAGTTTGCACAATCTAGATGGATGCAGAAATACTAAATTAAATAGTACACTGTTGGCTTCACTCGACTCTCCAATGAGCTAATTGGAGAAACAAAGTATGGAATGTAAACTATTTGTCTGAAGAACATTAACACTTATGTTTCCTAGACTACATCAATGCTTTTTTTTCAGAATTATCAGTTCAATATTATATTTTGCGCGAGTTGTAATTTTTTTACAAAAATATCCCTGAAATAATTACTGGACTTACTTCTTTGAAGTTTTAATACACTGAATAGTTTTTGAACTTACAATTGGAATTCTGGAAGATCTACTTAATCAACTCGAAGTGCTTGACTAACTGGTTTAAGTATTGCTTAGTACTGTGAAATAATATGTGCTGGACTTTGATGAAGCTTATGTGCATTTGTTGTGTAATTCTATTTGCATACAAAGAAAATTCTTTCAGATGAAAATAAATATCGTTAAGTTTACTATCAAAACATTTTTTGGTAGTAAATTTGGTAAAAATCCAAGATATTCCTCACAGATCACCTCTCTAGATGTATTAATAAACTCTCAGTCTCAAACTGTTTAGATCCTAAAATATCTGCTATTTCATCAACTATGACCAAGAATCCAACAGCATTATTGGTAGCTTTTACAATATCTTCTCTCAGAGCATGTTCAGACATAATTTTGAATAAGTTATTCTGCTTTGGATGTGATGTATAACGAGCATTTTCAGCACCTGTATCAAAATTGTTTTTTAAACAGTCTCCTCTCTCAATTCAATACTAATAACGTTGTTGGACATTTCCTTTGTTATTATATTTCTCACATAATATAAATCTTTTGTTACGCAAAATAAGATTGTAAAAAAAATAGGATACAATATCTTTCTATAGTTTTTAAATAATTTGTTTTACTTGCTATCTAGCTGACAATAAGTATTTTTATTTAGATATCCTATTGTTTTTGTTTTAAATTAACTATTTTAGGTGCCCCAAGAAGTCCTTATGGTCTTGTGATAAGACCACCGCGGTCCTTATGGTCTTGTGGTATAAGCACTATGGAAGGGCATTTGAAAGGAAGTTCATGCCTCCTTCCTTATCGATGCTATAAAACTTGCCCAGAGGTGGCATTGAACTATGGATCTCTAGTTCCTTAGGTAAGCACACTAACCACATTGCTACAGCTGGATTGTTGATACCAAGTGTTCAGCATCTTGCTGAGCCCCACGATGCCATGCTGAGCTGGTATGGTTTTCGGCACATTCAGTAAAATGTTTATACTTTGTAAAAAGATTAGTAATAAGGACACTTTAAGTTCCTCTTTAAACTAGTTGTGGAAATACCCATAGCACCTTTTATCAGGTGAATATGATAGCCATAGAGGATATTAGGTATTTAGAAATGTCACCATTGAAATCAAAGGCAGATGAGGCTGGTAAGGATCAGTTAACAAATAATACTTAAGGTTAATAGGAATTGACAATGTCATAATTTAAGCTAGTATTTCCACTTTAAGTTTGTCAAATTTTGGTTACAGTAAAAGAATGTGAGATGTATATCACTTAAGTAATGTTAATGACAGCATTTGTAGAAAATAAAAAAAAAGAGCTGCTTTAAATGTAAGGTTGTTAGGAAGATCATTAATATAGATAAGAAACAAAACAGGACCAAGGATACAACCTTGAGTTACCCCAGAAGTTACTTGAAGCTTGGAAGCTAGAGCAGGTTCAACTACATTTACAATATGTTTTTATATTATATCTAAAAGAGAATTAGCATAATTAGAAGAACCAGCTCAAATATGACAACAGTATTCCATACAAAATGAATAAGAGATTTACAGAAAGGTTTAGTTGTATTTTATGTACGTAAACAAAAAAAGTGGAAACCCAACTAAGAATGTTTTTAAGTTAAAAAGAGCTTTACAAAATAATATTGCATAATTATGCAACACCGTGATAAGCAAAAGAAAAATGTTTTGTTATGCCTAATTAAAAAAATCCTTTTTTAAAGAATATTTAAAACTTTTATGTTTTCTTTTTAATATATTCAAACCTGATAATTAAAAATTACATTTTTTTTGTGACTAAATATCTCCTAACAAATCTTTTAATATATGTAAATAGCTTGTAAATAAAGCTAGTAAATAAAACCTTATGGTACTTTGTTTTTTTTTAATTGTAATTCTTATCTAAATAGAACGAAATGCTCTTGGTAATGGCATTTTTTATTTAAAAAAGCGCAATAAAAATGAAGTGTAAAAGTATAAATAGTATTATTTTGATAAACTCTTAAATTTTAGGTTTCATGTTTTTAATGTAACCTTGTGCAAAGTTTTAATTATTTCTTAATTTATGCAAAGTCTTTTTCTCAAAAATACTTTTGTAAACAAAAGAACTTATTTATTTACTTTTTAATGCGCAATATACAAATTGCGTTTTTCAATCATCAATCAATCAATCATTTTTTTATTTCTGAATTAAGGTTTTACATTCAAAGGTGTTTACAAATAGTAAATATACTAATATAAAGTAAACACCTACTAATGTTAATAATATCTAATTAAAATAAATATAATGCCAATTTTCACAATATATAATAACGGTAATAAACTTTATAACATAAAATAACGATGTAATATAAATATTGATGTTATAATAATAATAATAATAATAATAATAATAATAATAATAATAATAATAATAATAATAATAATAATAATAATAATAATAATGATAATAATAATAATAATAATGACAATAATAATAACAATAATAATAACAATAATAACAACAATATTAGTATTAGTAATAATAAAAGTTGAAAGTAGTTATCAATAGTAATATTAGTAAAAATAACAAAATATCAATAATCAATAAAAAATATAGAATAGAAATTGTAAAAAAAAAAAAATATATATATATATATTAAGACAACAAAAATTGATTTTAGAAATTATAAACATTAACTATATTTTTTTAATAAAAAGTAGAATAAACTGGTTTTAAAGGTTGAGAATGAATTGAGAGCTTTTAGTTCATAAGAAAGGTTGTTCCAAGTTTTAGTGCTTTGATATGGATTTATGCCCGTAATTATGAGAGCGGTGTTTAGAGACAGACAGGTTTAAATTGCTAATGGAATGAAGGTGATAACGATTGTTGGCACTTTTGGAAAAGAAATTAATGAAAGTTAAAGGTAGGTTATTGTGTTGGTGGTTCCAGACAAATTAAAAGTTTAAAAGTTGAATATAGTCACATAGTTTTAATACTTTAGAAGTTAGGTAGAGCACATTAGGATTAAATTTAATATTCTGAAAATGAATAATTTCTAAAGCCCTGTTTTGGAGGTGGGATAACATAATAAGAGCTTGTTGATGGGACTACCCCCATACTTGGCATGCATATCTAAGATGTGAGCCAAAAATAGCATGGTATATGTTCAAGAGTGTCTCAAAATTAACATAATGGCCAATTTTGGCCAACATACCATTAGATCTACTTAGTTTCATTGCTAAGTCTTTACAGTGGGATAAAAAAGAAAGATTTGAATCGATTTTTATACCAAGATATTTAATTGAGTTAACAGGTTCAATTTTTTTGCCACTTAATCTAAAGTTCATACGTTTATAGATTTTTGTTTTATTTGATTTAAAGATAATGAGTTCAGTTTTATTAGAGTTTAGAAAAAGTTTGTTGGAGCGAAGCCACTGAACTAAATAGGCATGATCATGGTTAATGTGTTTGTTAATTTTTTAAAGGGATTTATTAATTAGTATTAGATTAGTATCATCAGCAAAGTGGTAAACAGTAGCAAACTTAATGGATGTATGAAGATCATTAATATAAAGAAAAAGCAGTGGTCCTAATACGGAACCCTAAGGATCACCATTAGAACATTTTACAACGGTAGATTTTGAGTCATTAATAGAAACAAATTGTGTTCTATTGTTTAAATATGTAGTGAACCATTTAAGCGGTACGCCTCTGATCCCATAATATTCTAATTTTTTTAACAAAATTGAATGATCCACTGTGTCAAACGCTTTATGTAAATCAACAAATATACCACATGCAAAATATTTATCATCAAGTGCTTTTCTAATTAGTTCAGTCATTTCAATGAGAGCATGAATTGTGGAGTGATTGGCATGAAATCCATACTGATGGGTGTAAAAGCATTTAAAATTTTCAAGAAAAGAATATAGCCTATTATGCATTGCATTCTCAAAGAGTTTACCTATATTAGAAAGC